TTACAAAATTAACAAATCTGAGAGAGGTCCACATGTAGTACCTATAGATGTAATATCAAAGCAATTGCACTTGCGGTTTTTAACAAGAAGTCGAAAATATCAGTTTTTACCAAAAATGTCAAAAATATTCACCAAAATTAGAGAATTAAAGATATCAACATGAAATGAACAAACCTAAGAGAGGTCTACCCAAGGTACATATACACCAAGTATCAAAGCATTTAGGCTTGTAGTTTTCAAGAAGAAGTCGAAAAAGTAAAACATTGACACAGACGACGACGGAGACGGACGACGACGACGGACAATCACTCATATGATAAGCTCGACAGCGGAGCTAAAAAGGTACAATTCAACAGAGGGAATGTGGCTTCAATTAGAGCTTCTATACAAGCGAAATGGTGAATTTTTGAATCTCAATTGTTCAAAAAAATTAGAGATGCGGTTTCTAATACAGATTTTAGGGAATACAGTCACTGTAAGTTGTTTGGTAATCCAAAATATCAATATTACTCAGTGATAAAAATGTTAGATTTGGGTATCAGAATATGTATACCATATATACAAATTTGAATAGATATTTTGACATGATCATTGTGTTGAATTAAAACTTTTAAAATGTGTCTAAGTAATTGATATACAATTTTCGTAATAACTACCACAATATCATTTGAAGAATTGTGGTAATGACAATAAAAGATCCTTATTGTCTGTGCACTTAATGTGTGAATTTGATGAAACCAAATTTATTGCCACAACACCATGTATTGACACGTATAGTTGTTGAAATCTGTCAGGTTACAATGATTAATTGAACCAAAATTCACTTCTAATAGAGGAAATACAGAAATTATGCATGATACGCAAATATGAATTCTTGAAATATACAGAAAATGACAGAAATGCTTCACAAACACAAATGGATTTAAATAAATAATTCTCGTAGCTTAATAGTTAATAAATACAAATTGACTTGCGTACATATGAAAAGTAACATCAAAAGTTTTTGGAGCCTCGTGTTTGCGACAGTTTACAAGCAGTTGTCATGTGAAGCATTACACTCGGCATACTGTAGAATTCTTTATTTTCGCTTGGAATTTATTTTGCCTATTTTCACTGAAGGGATGATTCTGTGAAAATAAAATCCAGCGAACATACTTTTTTTCCTATATTTCACATTAAACTAATCAAAAATCAGTGAAAATAAATTCCATACAAAACACCCAAAAAGCCTTTTCAGCGAAAAAATAAACTTTTAAAACAAATGTAATGTACAATGTTAACCAAAAATGTAAACTTGTGATGACTGAGGCCCTTTAAAAGGCAGCCTTAAATTCTATACACCACCTTTCAGTTTTGTTTCAGAAAATCCGTTGGGTTTTGGGAACATATTTTTTGTTTTATATTAGTATTTACGAAACGAAATTGTAAAATTTGCTGGTGAATTTCTTTTTTCTCTTTTGGCCATACCTCAAATTTTTGTTCACAAAATATAGCTTATAGCATTTATTATATAATCATTTTATTTACATACCAACATTAAAAACAAAACCACACTGTGTTGTACACAATTATAACACCGTCAGGTTTGGTGTGGGTCCCATGCAACATAAACAATATATGTAGTACCGGTACGTACAATTTAACCGTGCACTGCCATTTTATGCTCACACTTATTGCTTACATGGTGGTTCTGTTAATGCATTAATTATTTACTTAGCTAAATTAAATCCATATGAACACCTACAAATTATAATAGATATGATCAAAATGTCAAAATACAGAAATTAAATACTGTAAAATCTGTATTAGAAGCTGCGGCTTCTATTTAAAATGGTACAATCCAACAGAAGGGAATGTGGCTTCTATTAGAGCATGTACACCACGAGAAATGGGAAATGTTTGCTTCTCAATTGTTCAAAAAGAATAGGTGCGACTTCTAATACAGATTTTAGGATACCACTGAAAATGAATGTTTTTACACAAAGGAATGTTTATTGACAACAAAACACACCACTGCCAAAAGTTGCATACATTGTTGAATACAAACAGCAAAACCATCTTGAATTTTCAAAATACATGTATAATGTTCCAATTTACTGCCTCTGCATATTATGATCTTATATTATTATGTATTTTACAGGAAAGTGTTATGTTTGTTGTGACAATTATATTGTGCTTTCTATTTTAATATGTATAAGGAATATATAAATTATATTTTGGTTTTCATGACAGGTGATCCTGGTCGGTGTAGATTGAATATTATAACACAGTTGTGACAGACATAATTGGACGTCTTCACTTTGAAAGTTTCCTCAAACTACACTCTCAAAGATAGTGAAAACATCGGCTGGAAACACAATGTCGATTATTTGTTAG